CCCACGGGAACACACGTTATAAATTATAATTCAACCCAAAAAAAAATTATAATCAGAATTAATTGCAACTTTGTATTAATACTCTTCAGTAATATCAAATAAATACGTGTTTTAGCATTTTTCGAAATTCATCCCATAAGGGGGTAAAATAGGGGATGAAAGTTTGTATGAAAACTACCTTTTTAGAGTTTTTTGTAATTTTAGCGCGAACGAAGCCGCGGGTTCTGCTAGTAAAGTTATAAAATATATATTGCATATACATAGACAAAAAAACAAATACCTAATAACTATTACATTTATTTACTGTCAAGAAAAAAAAACCTTATTAGTATAGGTTTCGAAAAATATAGAACATCAATTTTTCATCCATTTTTTTGAAAATACCAGAGACCAACCAACAAAGTAGATTATGAATAAAATCTATCTATAAATAAAAAAATAATATTTTTTCAGGCTTTATCACTTCTTCTGAAAACTATTACATTTGCTATATACATTATATATGAACATAAGTGAGCAATAGTTTTATATAAAAAAAAACTATCATCGATTATTTTTTGCATGCTGTGATTGTGATATTTGAAAATTTTAAATTAATAAAGAGACCCCATGACCATGATAAAAGCAATCATTGATAGCGTCGGGAAACAAAAATCAAAATAAATCCGCAAAAAGATAGCTTTATTTAAAATGTCATATATTCGAAATAAAATCTAAGAAATATTATATATTTTTAAGTGTTTTCTTGTAAATACCAGAGAAAACCAACAAAAATCCCATATATAGATAGTCGACAGCGTGACGCAAATGAGCATCACGTACAGCCACCTCCGGGTGAGAGCGATAGCGCTGACTCCGACCTCTGAGGTGCACTCGCGATACCACGTTTATTACTACTTATATTTATCTCTCGCATCGATTATTTTTAATGGACACTATCGAATGAATGCAATGAGTAATAATGTCTGATGTCCATGTCCAAGTTACGAGGCTTGTGTTATGGATACCAGCTACAAACATTCGTGCTCATAATACAAATGTATGGCCAGAGCAGGACTCGAACCCGTGACCGTTGCAATAGCAAGCACTATAAACTGAACTCAACGTGTCGTCGTTTGTTTTTTCTTTGTCGTGTCGTCGTTTCTTATATTAAATATCGGTAAGAAAAAAGATTATTTTTTTCAAATGTATGTGGGACCAATCTTGATTTATAAATTTAAAATTCTTAAAACTCATCCACAATTGACGAAGTCAGAACAAAACGGAAAAACATACAAACTAATTGAATACTTCTCCTTTTTGATGTCGGTCAAAAAAGTGATTTATTTCTACTGTATTCATATATCATTTAAATTACTTTTTAATTAGTTATAAAATCATTTCTTTACAAATCATATAAACCGTGGAAAAATCAAACTATTTCCAACCACCAATACTATTATTTCTTCAACCCTATCTGTATATTTGTAAGAAAAAATGCCTAACAGACGCAGAGGAAACAAAGCAAACGTATAAAACGATAACTTGTAACCCTTCGAAGGCGATTCCACAAAGAATTGGCATTTATCTTATAATTTACTGCGAGAGGATCAAAGTTGAGAGTGCTGCAGCGCGCAGGCGCGATAGCGCGGCGACGTGTACGAATTATATATGTATATTCTACTCTGTAGCAGTAATATAGTCGCAGGGGCGGACAGACAGATAGTCTTTATGATTTGTATTTTGAAATAAAACCAGTTTGTTCCGATTTTTTGTGTTTCTTTTAGATTTTAGGGTCTCGTGAGAGAAACCACGTTTGCTGTACACTTTATAGTGCAAAGCATTAGCAACGTCATTCTCCTGGGCTTGCCAATCGATTTCTATTTTCTTTATTTAGTAGCTATTGACGAGCTTTAATGTTATCAGTTAAAAAAAATAATCGTAAAAAAATTAACGACCACTAGGCGAACACTAGTCAAAAAACGCGAAGAAATAAAAAAAAATGATTTATTCAAAATGTGAAAAATTCGCATAAATCTAAGAAAGCATTACTTGAATTTTTACGCAATAAATAAATATTATTATTATATTTATAATTTTAATATAATTGCGATTGTAAATTAACAGGTAAATTTCACGTGACAGTTTTGTTTTTAAAAAATATTATATGTATATTATAATTGTACTAAGTAATAGTAAAAAGTTTTCTTCATTTGACGAGTTAGTTTTTTGAAGACACACATGATTATATATGTACATATATTAGGTAATTATTATAATATGTATTAATCAATAGAAAACTTGTATATTTGAAAGTTTTATATACATATAAATTATATATTATTCGGTGTGCGTCTGTTCGTAATTCTTCTCCTAACCAATTTTGGTTGTTTTCTTATTGATTTACTTAGATGGTTATTAACAATACATTCATTGTATATATCCGATACGTGGCGCTATTGCCGAGAGCCACATTCTTTTCTCAATTTAAATAAAACACCTACACAAAATTATTTTAATTTCTCGAAAATGATGCCACTATTTTTCAATCAATCAGGTATTAGTTTCGTAATTACTTCAAAATTCTTATTTCTTAATTTAATATAATTTTTTTTCTTAATATTATTTTTTTACATATTTTTTTTATACTATTCAGAATTAGTGCTTGACTACGTTCCACCTGATGGTAAGTGGTAACGCAGTCGTAGATGGTAAGTCGCACTAATTCAGTAGCCACCTATTCACTCTTGCCTTGAAGACAGCCATATTCGGAAACACCGACGCAGGCAGGTTGTTCCAATCCTTAGCCGTACGTATAATAAATGACGTAGCGAAACGCTTCGTGCGGACGAGTGGAATGTCCACGACATAAGGATGGAGACCAGCCGTTCGTCGGGTTGTCCGACGATGGAAAGGGGATGGGGGAATTAATTCATGTAATTCCTGCGCACACTCTCCGAAATGTAACCTATAGAATACACAAAGGCTGGCAACCCTATGTCGGTGATCGAGGCTTTGTAGGTTAGCTTTTACCAGCGTAGGGTCACCTATAAGCCTTTGAGCACGCCTCTCAATCGAGTCCAAGGCTGACAGATGGCATTTCGCAGCACCAGCCCATATGTGGCTACAGTATTCCACACACGACCTGACTTGCGCTTTATATAAAACAAGAAGCTGTCCCGGCGTGAAATACTGTCGGACCTTTGCAAGGATGCCAACTTTCCTCGCAGCGACATTAGCCTTAGACTCGATGAACCGCCCGTAGTTCATGTTGGGGCTGATGTCCATCCCTAACAACTGCAGACGTTCTGTGTATTCCAAAGGCACATTCCGGAAAGTAGGAGTCAAGGTGAAAGGACTCCTTTTAGTGGTGAACAGGCACGCCTGTGTTTTGGTGGCATTGAAACTCACAAGATTGGCATCGCCCCAAGTGGAGACTGCCCTGAGTGTGAGATTCAACCGCTCTACCATGGCCTCTCTTTCGGACTGAATTTGATCTCTACTGGCCCGAGGATTCGGCAGGTATCTCTCTACAATATTAATATATAACTATAAATATTTATTAACTTTAGATACACATTTCCTAACAAATATCTCCTCAAAAGTAGCGTCGACGTGTGACGTTAAGTCAAACCAAAGTATAAAAATCAAAAATCGATAGTTCTAATTGTCTAAATACAAATTCGACCTTACGCACACCATAAAAAATGCATTTAAAACGAAATAACGTGCGTGTTAATTTTGTCATCCTAAAAGCAAATGAACAAAAGATATTATTTGACAAAAGCGCATAATTTCGAATTATTTGCATCTTTTTGAGAACACTTTTGAGACGCCAATTGAGTATCTAGAGTTTTTGTATATCAATGATAAATACGAAAACTATAATAGAACATCTATACTAATATAATAAAGGTAAAGTTTGTAAATTGTGAGTTTGTGACGTTGTAGGGGGTAATCTCTGGATCTACTGAACTGATTTAGATGAACTTTGGTAAGAAGATAGTTTGAGACCCTGGGAAGGACATAGGATACTTTTTATTCCGGAAATCATCCCTTAAGGGGATGAAAATGGGGATGAAAGTTTGTATTTGGAAGCAAGCTAGGGACGAACCCGAGCGAAGCGAGGGTGAGTCGCTTGTTTTAAATAAAACTGAGAGACCCCTGTCTCTGCCGTGACCATAATTGCTGTAAAGCATTCGAAACGTCGGAAACCAAAAATCTAAATAAACCCGCGAAATAATCCGAAAAAAAAATGTTGGGACATTAACACACAACACCGTCTAGTTCCATGGTAAGCTACGAGGCTTGTGTTATGGATACCAGATAGTTGATACAGTACATATACATAACTTTAAATAAATACATATTATAAATATAAACCCATGACTGGAGTACAAACATCGTGCTCATCACACAAATGAATGCCCCCAGCGGGACTCGAACCCGCGACCACTGGCACAGCAAGTAGGGTCACTACTATGAAAAGGTAGTTTTTTATTTAAAATGTCAAATCGAATATTTGCGCGAATGAACGCGAATCGTAAATCTAAGAAAGTATTATATAACGGAACATTTTGAGCTTCACATGGAGCTGGGTATAGGCACAGTGCGCGATTTATAAGCAGTCTCCGCTAGATGGAGACACTAAACGTTTACTGATTACACTTTAGGCGTTTGCTACTTAATATACTAATTGATAGTAAATAAAATTATTAATCAGTACGAGTTATAAAAACTAGAAAAATCAGATTATAGATCGATTGTAGAAAATGATGCTCGTCAATCAAAAAATTCAAATAGCTCAGTCAGAAATCAAGCTAAGTATCATACAATTTAAAACCCATATAAAAAGTCCACCTTCAACAATTTCTTTTTTTTAACTCTTTTGACTTTGTATGATGAATTCTAAAAACTATTCTTATGTTATATCAGAGTATAGTAGTTTTATTAATTTATAATATAAGTCTGGATACATAGATCCTTCCTCAAGGCCGACAAGCCGGGTCCAGCATACGCACCGTCTTGTCCTTGGGCTCCTTGGTGTGCAGGTTGTAGAGCGTGCCGCGCTTGTACTCGTCGCCGCACACGTAGCACACCTCCGTCATGCAGTTCTTGTCCGGCATCGACAGGTCCAGGATGTCGCGCTCCGACGACGACGTCGAGTTGCCCGAGTACACCGACACCGTCGACCTGCCGGTTGTAACCGTTACTATATAATATAGGTATCATGAGTTTTGGGGATGAAAGTATCAGCATTACCGAATATGTACTGCGCCGACCCCAAGAAGAAGAAGAAGAAGGTGGAAAGTTAAGGGATAAAACTATCTACATGCCGAATTTCATCTAAATAAGGTCAGCGAATTTTTATTTTATCCATTACAAACAAAGATACAATTTTTCTCGTTTAATAATATTAGTACGGATGTATACATAATATTATACACACTTAGTATAAATAATTATAAAAACCTTTGAATAAATAAATAGATAAAGATTTACGAACAATAAATATCATTTAGTTCCATTAAAGAATAAGAGAAATTTTATATGTTACATTAATATGCACTTTAAATAAATAAGCAAGCAACAAATATAAATAAGGAAAATAATACTATATTCTTTTGTATTATTTTAAACACCAGTTTTATTAGATTATAATATAATCTGTTGGGCTATTTTAAAACATTATTGTCACCCAGATACTATATAATATAATATCTAGTGTGATGTGAACTAAGACTAAGTATCCCATTTATTATAATACTAGCGACTCACCCTCGCGTCACTCGGATTCGTCTCTAGGTTGATTCCCCATACACACTTTCACACCCATTTTCACAACCTTAAGGTGTGATTTCTGTGATAAAAAATATCCTATGTATGGGAATGCCCAGGGTCTCAAGCTATCTTCTTACTAAATTTCACCTAAATCGGTTTAGTAGTTCCAGAGATTACTTCCTACAAACAAACTTACAAACTTTACCTTTTTATAATATAGAATATAGATTGAATGATAGAATACTTAAATTTTAATCAAATGCATTTGGCATATTTTGCACCATGACCACCATGACTAAAAATATGATAGCTGTTTAACAAGAAGCGGTTATTGACGGTTAGCATTTACGCGATTAGGTTGCATCCCAGAGATCGTGCTATATCCCCAGAATGCTGTAAGCCCACGGAGATAATGGAGAAGTTTACAAGTTTTATTATGAATTAATTATAAAAAAAAATAAGAAAAATATTAAAGCATTTTTAAAACATCTCAACAAATGAAAAAGTTATGTAATTTGAAAGTTGCGCTTGCAAAAATAAATTCGTGACGACACACTATCTGAACGACCGAAATATAAATAAGAAACAAGCAAATGTACGTTTACAAGTTGGGGGTTAAGAAATCAAACTTGTACAAAATGACTAGGAACAGCGCGAGAGGTGGCGCGCGACTTAGAAACAATTTAGCAATAGGGAATATGCGTGTCATTTAAATAAAGATGTTTTTTTTTTTATATTTTTATTGCTTATAAATTAAGCCTTTTTTTTTTAACGTTGGGAAATGCATTTACGCACGAAGTGTGGGACTCACCGGCGAAGCCAGTACTACCCACTAAAACCCAACAAAACCTTCCCCCGTCTTAATGGGGCGTCGCAGGATCGCTTACGCATTCAACTACGACGCCCCGACGGCAGGTCTGCCGAAGCAGACCACAACAACCATGGGGTTGCTCCACGGTCCACTCTGCTATCAGAGAAGTACCAGAAGCAACCCGCATGGTACACCACCCTCCGAAGAAGGCCGCCTCCCACCGCCCACCGAAGCGGGCCACCTCCCTGTGCGTTTCTTGGCTTCGCGAGTACACTACTGAGCCCCCCCACCACGAGCCTACATCAATATATTTTAATTTAATTTTTTTTTGATTAAGAAAATAATTAATAAAACTTGCAAATATAGGTGGGAAATTCAAAGTAGTCGCATCGTATGCCATTAGTCAGACCGAATATGACGTCAGAGTATAAATCATAACAGAGGGATTAGCGATTTTGTCGCTACAAACTAAAGTTGTCATTTTTTTATGTATGATACTGTGACGTCACACGAAGCGCGCGAAATTGCGGGCGTTTAAATTATCCGTAACGGTATAATATTTTTAAAGATTTTTTTGTATATTAAATTGTAGTTTTTTGGTGCTGGATATTGATTTTATTTCAATTATATAAAAATATTAGTTATTGCATAAAAAAATCACGCATATCCCCTATTGAGTGATATTTTGTGGTGCGACAACCTCGGCTAGGTAAAATGACGTCACACTCGAGTGAGAGACCGCAATCATTGTGCGGTAAAATTTAAAATACCTAAACAATTAACTTCTCATTCATTTATCGATAGATTTCATTGATTTATTAGCTTTGATCTATATTTTAATTCCATTGCGTTAAATATGTTATTAGCAACATAATGAAACTTCTCCATTCAGCTCCACTCCCTCCCGCACACCTGACAGCCTCCAGGTAGCCCGCCGGCTCGCTGGCCTCCGAGTGCTGCGAGCCCACGGAGATGACGGAGGGGTCCCTCGCGCGCAGGTCCAGCACGCCCTCGTCCTCGCCGCCCGCCGCGCCGCCCGCGCCCGCCGCGCCCCCCGACGGAGGGGGGTAGCGCTGCTGAAATATGTAATAATTGAATTATAAGTAAATGTTTATAAAAAGTCATTTTTAGGGTTCCGTACCCAAAGGGTAAAACGGAACCCTATAACAACCCCCCCCCCCCCCATACCCCACTTGACCAGTTTATTAATGATTTCGACTTGCCTTTATGATACTGTTTCAATATGCATGTTTGCTGACGCATGATCGTCACCAATCAGGTTTGAACAAAAACGATATTTGAATACAGATTTACGATAACTTTGTACAGTTTATTTAACAACATTGATTGATATGGTTTATTTATGATTTGGATGGTTTAGAATATTTTATTAGTACTGTATCAGAATCAATTCAATCATCCAATCTATCAAGTTTGTCCTTAAAAACTGAAGAAAAGTATTTTTTACTTATAAATGAGATGACAATACTTCTTCTCTTCTAGCACAAACCAACAATAAACAGATTACAAGTTTTTTTTTTCATTATAAAAAATGTTCCAAGCAACCGCACGGTCCACCTGGTTGATGACTGTATGAAGGACCTACCGCCGCTAATAGACAAGTGCAACTTAAGCGGAGTTGCGGATACCGGCTTTAAAGCCATCTGAAGACAAGTCTCTTGAAAACCCCTATATTATAGCGCTCGTTTCGTATTTCGTATCGGTGCACAATGCGGCACTATTAGGACTACTTTTGTAATTAAAAAAGATTAAGTATATTTATGTATATGTATAGTTGAATGTGTGTACATTTGTTACTTTGTCACAAATCACAACGAAACGACTGGACGGATTTATATGAAATGTATTATATTCTTTATTGAGCTTAAAAAAATTCAAAGAGAAAACAAAAATACATAGAAAACAGAAATGACGTGGACACATTTAGTACACGGACAGACTATGAATTGGAGAAACACATAGGCTAGCTGCCGTCAAGCACCTAGGGACGCACTCGAGCGGAGTGGGGGTATGTCGCTAGTTCTTCTTATATTATAATCGCGGAAGTTTGTAAGTATGTATGAACGTGTATGTATGTTATCCTTTCAAGCAAACATCACTGAACGGATTTTGATGAAACTTTACAGTAATACAGCTTATACATCAGATAGGTTAATATGTGGTTATAATTTATAGTCATAATAATGTATAATTGATATACGTAGGCGGGAGCTACCGGAAAACACTAGTTAACAACAAGCTTGGACTAACATTATTAAACTTAGCAGTGTGATTCTCCTTCTTGGGCGAAGCGATGCGTGGCGGGTCGGGGCGCGGCGCGGGCGTGGTGGGCTCGTCTCTGGTCGCGTTCGCTTCAGCGCCCAGGCCGAGTACTTGGGCTGCGTACTCGCCTTGGAACGACATATCTGCACCTGGAAAGTTGATGGGAATGTGTTAGATATATTGTTATGCTTATTTTTGTTTGCTTTTTTTTGTCACAGAACACATGGATTAATTTATTTATAAGGATATAGTATTCTCGTATAACTTACTTAAGTATTTACCAAAAAGGATTATGCACACCAATCATAGAGAACAATAAATTCTTAATATTCATGTTTGGTATTACAAGTCGAACGGTCATATATTTAAGAAAAAGAAATCATTTTAAAATATATACATATATTATACAAAATATATCAATGTTTTCGACGACACGTTTGGCTGTTTGTAGTGACCCTATTTGCCGGGCCAGCGGTCGCGGGTTCTAGTCCCGCTGGAGGCTTTTATTCGAGTGTTGAGCGCGAATGTTTGTACTCCAGTCATGGGTGTTTATATTTATAACATGTATGTATTTAAAGTTATATATATATATGTGTAGTGTATCAACTATCTGGTATCCATAACAAAAGCCTCGTCTTACCATGGAACTAGATGGTGCTGTGTGTTAATGTCCCTACATATTTATTTATTATTCTGTCGTGGGTACAAGCCACTTTAAGGTATACCTTCTAGCATCTCGAGTAGGTACTGTCATCTACCTGCTGTCTACTCAACCATGACGTTATATTGTATAATCAAATAAAACATCACGTTAACATAAAATAAACAATAAACACCAATCAGCGTTTTATTTGTGCAATATATTATCACTTTTACTATTGACTTGACGGTAAAAAGTCAATCAATGTATGAAGCGAGCAAACATAACTGACCAAACCGAGAATAAAATTAACTTAATACTAATTTTGTTTACAGCAAGAACGGGCGAATTGAAATAAGTTATTCAGATAACAATATAAACGTCAAAGTGACATTTTCAAAAAAAAATTAAGGTGTATAAATATTTTAGGGATTTTTCGTTCAGATATTTATTTACATTTTTAAGATTCTTAAGATATGTAGGTATATGCATGAGTTGGTACTTTAGTCAAATAGATTTTAAACCCACTGTTCATCCTCGTAAGTTAATATCAGGCAGTCCTAGGAACCACTCAATGAAAGAATTGTATTGAATTGAATTTGATGTCAGTATCGTATTTAGGGATTGGTTATATAATTTAGGGACAAAACTGTGTGTCTGTTTTTCCTGTGCGAGCGCACAGACCCCTAATGCAAAAAGATCCTTAACTTTTTCCCTATTTACTAGATGTTTACTTCAAAGCATCATAAAAATCTTTTTAGTATAACATATATGCATCTAGTATAGGGATAGATCTTAAGATATATCTAATTCAGTACAAATCTCCATCACCAAGTCGTCACGGTAACCAAGTCACGACTGCGTCGGGCCGCAACCTCGACACACTGAGAGAAAGCGACCCCGATACATTTGATCTACGTGATGCAACAACTATAAATAAATATATGGGCAATTAATTAAGTTAAACTTGACCTCAAAAATTTAACGTATTCGTTTAAGCTTTTATAATCAAGATTAAAAATTTATATAAGTTATTACCCGCGACTTCGCTCGCATGGAAAGCGTCAATCATCAATTTCTATACGACGATTTGTATAGTAAAGATTGGCATGAAGACTGAAGACTCACGAAAAATAATGAAGTCTCAATATAGTACACTATATATGAGCAATATGTTATATGTATAAGTATATGACTATGAATATATAATGTAATTTAATTTTGTACGAATTGTGAGCTATCAAATTAAAGTAAACTGTTTTAAAGTGTTAAGATTTATTTTAAATACTAAACGCCCACAACGAAAAGACAATACAAACGTATCGGATCATTTAGATATACCGCTCGACGATTTGAATAAGTATAGATAAAATTCTATATAGAAGAATGGTCTACTAACTATAATTGCTGCCGACGTCGAATGTCGGCTTCCGATTTCTTCACAATCATAAGAGGTTGATATTTGGAAATGATGAAGAACTTTAAGTTTACGAGTGAGCATTTCTGTATGACATCACCTCGACGGCGATAAAGATAACGTATCACATACGTGAGGTAAAGAAAAGGATAACTCTGACATCAAAAACGTTTTGAGAGCAGCGAGAAAACATTTTGCATGTTTCGTATATCTTATTTGGTAAGTCTGCAATGTTCTGTAAACAAATGGTGACACACGATTATTCCTCGTTGTGAATTTATTGACATTAAGGGGTATTTCACACCTCTACATAAAGTTAATAAACATTATATTTGTTTATTCACACGATATAAGTCCAAAGAAATACTTAGTTTTATTTCCTCCATGAAGACTGAAGCAATTCCCGAGGAGGGTTGAAGTCAGGCAGACGGCCGATCGTAAAACTTTTGCCAAAACCTATCAGAAGTACGGGAGATGTACTGCGCCGACCCCAAGTGATTGGGAAATGGGCAGGGAGATGATGATGATGAAAAACTGAACCAATTTTGAAGGGTTTTCACGTGTAGATAAGTTATTTACGCACATATATACTAATTCACTAAGATTTTCGAAATGTTATCCTACAAACTATACGGTAAGCCCACAAAAATTAAAAAGTACTAAGTATAGTTGTTTAATATTTCTTAGAAAAGTTTGGATCAAACTTTTCATGTCGCTTTTAAAGTTTCATCCTTGAACCCCGCGCGATGTATATCTACAATAAAGTTATTTTCGTTACATTGTTTTAGGGTTTCATTCATTTTCATTTATTAAAATTTACAGTTATAATGAATCTATCATTGTATAGAATTCGTTAACGTATCGAACTAATATATACACGAATACTAATACTATCAAATAGTATTAATATAAATTCGAATTTTCGTATGTGTGTCACGTTTGATACTCCTTCATAATAAAACTGCTAGACGTATTTGGATGAAACATAGTACACAGATAGGCTATGACCTGGAGTAACATGGAGACTGCTGTTAGGTACTTAGGGACCCATTCGAACCTGACGAGGTTAGATCGCTTATATTACATAAGTATCTAGCACTAGTGACACCTTCCAAATTAACTTTTTGCAAGACTTCGTCACACTTTTCGACATTTATAATAATCGCATTGGCTGCAGTTTAGTATTTGACACTTGGAAGAGACATTTTGACGTTTCCAAGTGTCAAAATGATAGTAAATAGCATAATGTATGTATGTAAATATTGTAACTTTAAGTCTACATAGCTTGATCCCTGCGTTTCCTCAAAATATTTTTTTATAGGTATAGTATTTAGACTTCTTATCACCTCCCCCATCCAAAAATACCACCCACTCCTCCAGGGGCCGCGTCTCATATATTAAACTTGTACCGCCCATTTAACATAAAATAATTTCAAACGCAAGAGCAATGGCTTTTATTAGTTTTCCGCATACAACGACTACTACCATCAGATTTCTATCCAAACACTAAAATATCATACTTAATATCTTTCTAATTTTTACTTCTAACAGTTTTGAGTGGAGAGTCATTCGCGAAATTACTTTACATATTACACAGAACCAACACAACTGTACAAGCGTTCGTGAGAACAAACATAGAACATCGCAACTTCCGCGTGAACAAACAATGTCGGCTGTACGGTTATAGTATCATTTGATATACGTCATACGTTATTTGATGACACGTTTGGCTCAGTTTGTAATGACCCTACTTGCTGTGCCAACGGTCGCAGGTTCGAGTTCCGTTGGCATTCATTTGTATGATGAACGCGACTGTTTGTACTCCAGTCATGGGTGTATATATGTATAATATGTATGTATAATATGTATGTATTTAAAGTTATATATGTGTAGTGTATGAACTATATGGTATCCACAAACCTCATAGCTTACCATGGAACTAGGTTACTAGATGGTGCTGTGTGTTAATGTCCTAACATATTCAACAAATAAATGATAATAAATATATATAATAAATGGTGCATGATCAAGGATTTGAACCCGCTTCACTCGGTTTCCCAAGCGAACGCGTTACCACTGGGAAACCACTGCTTTACCCCTTCATAAGCATATAAATCTTTTTGCATTTTAAATCCTACTAGCAAACAAACAAAAACAAATCTATCCCATGGGAACCGTTTATTTTTCCGGGGAAAAAAGTTGACTATGTGTTATTCTGCTGTATGAGCTGTATTATTGTAAAGTTTCATCAAAATCCATTCAGTAGTTTTTGCGTGAAAGAGTAACAAACATACATCCATATCACAAACTTTCACATTTATAATATACTCGTAAGTATAGATTTGAATCGATTCGACATGATTCTTGCATCGATCGGTGGATGCAAAAATGATGAAATCGATATGCAATAGGCTACATTAAATCACAGTTATTCGTACAACATGTATGAAACGTACATAATATGTTTACTAGATACAGCAAAAAAATTAGCACATACATATAAAGAGCCTTCACCCACTTTGTAAAGTATTAAGTGAAAGAACAAATAATCTGTGGTTTGTTCGAGTGTGTTTACATTTCAGCGATTAATCAGAAGCTTTTGGTTTCGACAATAAACACATAGGCTAAAATTAAACGCGTCGTCCTCGTTAGAGAACTTCTTGTTCCTGTTAAGTTAAATAAGCCGGCATAATTTTATTAGCCACATAATTGTTATTTGAATAAAATTTTAACAGTACACAATAAGCCGCCATTTCTAATGTCGCTATTCATCTGCCCAGGTTTCAAAGAATATTACTTATAGAATTCTCTAGAGCATAACAAAGAGGGATGACCAATTTAGGTAGAAATTTTGATTTGTAAGCCCTAAAACATGCGTATACTGATCGCGGAGTGGCCAAAGTCCACACGGTGAATCATAAATACGAGTAACTGAATGTACGCACAAACCAAATGTCGAATATCAAAAGTTAAACAAACAGATTGTCATTTAAGCCGACGCGGTGGCAGGTAAATAAACGTATCTCCCTATAAATAGCCATAAACGTTATTTCTAAACTCTGATAGCTCTCACTGTATGTCCGGCCATTTTG